GTAAGCTTGGGTTATATTAGGATCCCAAGCAGGTGGTAGTACCCAGCCTCCTTCTCTATTGAAATTAGGATGTTTTTTAATTTCAATAGCCTCACGTATCATCCTTGGTAGGAATCGGTGTTCTTTCGCGAGGATTTGTGGTCTATCAAATCTGATATAATGGTTGGGGCCGTCTAGGATATGATCGCAAACTGCAGACTTCCCGGAACGTTGATGCTTCACATCAGCTATATGTTCTTTTACGCGGGTTCTAATTGATCTTTTTGTTTGTCTTGAATTTTAGGGTTTATGGAATTAAGATGTTCTAAATTAGAATATCTTAATTCCATAAACTCTAAAATTCAATTTACTATGGAGTTAGAGGCAAATAATTCCTTACCTTTCCTAGATGTGTTAGTCATCCGAAATCCTAACAACACCATTGGTCACACTGTGTATAGGAAAAAGACCCATACAAACCGATATTTAAACGGTGAATCTCACCACCATCCTTCACAGTTAGCTACCGTGGGCAAATCTTTGTTACAGAGAGCACGAGGGATCTGTGACAGCAAACACCTGACCACCGAGCTTCAGCACGTCAAGCAAGTATTGCAAGACAACAAGCTTCGGGTCCCGCGCCTACGTCACAGTGACTAAGTGAAGCCGGCCACAGTCGAGCGTGTGCCTGCTGTACTACCATATTTTAGAGGTGTCACAGACAAGATTGGCTACATCTTGAAGCGAGCTTCTATTAGAACATTCTACAAGCCACCGAAGAAGATTAGTCAGTTCCTACCATCAGTCAACTGTCATATTCCTCTACAAGATGCAGGAGTGTACAAACTTGATTGTGAATGTGGTCTCTCTTATATATGACAAACAAAAAGATCAATTAGAACCCGCGTAAAAGAACATATAGCTGATGTGAAGCATCAACGTTCCGGGAAGTCTGCAGTTTGCGATCATATCCTAGACGGCCCCAACCATTACATCAGATTTGGTAGACCACAAATCCTCGCGAAAGAACACCGATTCCTACCAAGGATGATACGTGAGGCTATTGAAATTAAAAAACATCCTAATTTCAATAGAGAAGGAGGCTGGGTACTACCACCTGCTTGGCATCCTACAATCAATAAAAACCCAAGCTTACCACTGCAAGACCTCAGGACATATCAGTTCATTTTGCATAGATCGGACCATAAACAATAATTAAAAAAGCTGAAGGCACTCCGGGTTTAACAATGACATCGGGACGTCAGTCATTTCAGTCCCCCGTGACCATGGGTGCTGGAATGCGCCCGAAACGTAGGGAATTAAAAATAATAGTAAAATAAACGCGATAAAATCCGTAAAAGTAGTTTTAATCAATAAGATTATAAGCTAGTGCTCAATTAGTGTTGCAAGCGCATGCAAAAAATTAGCGCTATGCAAAATGTTATTTTCATATACCGTAAATTGCCGGGTTTTTTGACAGGTTTAATAAGTTTGACAGGTTAAGCAAAGTATGTAATGTAAGATAATAAGTCATAAGTGCAAGTAAGTAAGTAGTAGTAGTAAGTAAGTGTAAGTAAGTAATAAGTGCTCAATTAGTGATGCAAGCACATGCGGAAAAAAGCGCTAAATGTTTTTTTTTTGGCATATACCGTAAACTGATACATTAGCAGCAAGCAAACAAGCAGGGTCCGCAAAGTATATGATGAAAAATTGACATCCAGGTCAGCCCTCCGTCACTCTTGCTACCAGCGTGAAATAATTACCTACAATCGCAAGGCACCCAGGGTTACATACGCTGTCGGGGCTAGCGCGTTGTAGGCGATTGAATGTTAAAGTTTTTTTAATACATTTTACAAATACTTGTTGAAATAGGTTTTGTTTAGTGTTTAGTATATTTAATTGTAGAATAAAATAGTAGAAAAAGTTTTAGTGTAATTAAAAAATTATATATAGGTATATATACAATATGTAACAAAAACCCTGTGGTTCCCATTAGGTGTGTTATCAGAATCAGTATCCAAGTATATAAAGATATTTTTTTTTTCAAAAAAACACATTTAAAAAATAATTTCAAGGAAAAAAAATTAATTTGCAAATTTTATGTGTTTTATTTCCTCTAATTCACACGAGTATCAGTATCGCGGGGTCTTTGACAATCCTCTTACTCCTCGGCCAATGGAGAGATAATAAAACCACATACAATTTGCAAATTAATTTTTTTTTCATTAAAATTATTTTTTTAAATGTGTTTTTTTTTTGAAAAAAATTATTTCTATATGCTTGGATACTGATTCTGATAACGCAGTTAACGGGAACCACAGGGTTTTTGTTACATGTTGTATATATATATAATCGGAATCTCGGAAACGGCACAAACGATTTTCATAAAATTTTGTGTGCAGGGAGTTTCGGGGGCAATAAATCGATCTAGCTAGGATTTATTTTTAGAAAATGTCTTTTTGTCCGTGTTTTTAGGCAATGAAAAACTGCTACAATATCGTTAGAATAAGAGGTAAATTTTTAAGTTCATTAATGTTTACAAATAGCTTAATTTGTATATTGGGCGGTCACAAAATCGTAATACTCTGGTTCGAGCTCAGACCGACCGACCAACTTTTTTTAATTTTTTTTTTCAAGTACCTTTCTTTTTTTGAGAAAATCTATTTTTTCGAAGCCTTTTTTTAGTATTTTTTAAAAAGACGAAAATTTAAATTAAACTAATTGCACTCATGATTGTGATGTTTATTCAAATAACCAGTTCAGTTTTTTCTATTATGTCGCTAAGATCAAAAAATATTATTCGTATTTCACCAGTATGTAATTTGTATCTAAATATAATTTCCAAAACACACGAATTAAAAAAAAACGAGCAAAGCTCGGTCAACCGGGTACTAGGGTAAAGGTTGGCTTTATGGTGATAATAAGAAAAAAACTTAAAATTTTATTTCAAAATTAACATTTATTAGAAAACCTCTTTACTTATTACAATAATCAGACTTTTCTTTTCAATAATTATTAATCACAGCAACTTAAATTCTTAAACATTAATAGGAAAATCAGATCAAACAAATCTTTTTGGTGTTGGCAATATGGAGATACGGGGGCAATTTGGTGATACCATATGTGGCAATATGGTGACAAGTCTATTCAGGTGCCCAATCACTGTCATCAGTGCCTGAAAAGTCTACTTTATCACAATTATCACACAGGAACTGTGGCGACTCTGTGCCAGTACATTCTTGGTGGTACCATTTGCCGCAGCTCATGCACTCTACCCATACAGCTCCGTTCCTAAGTGCCACATCTTGGGAGTAGTGAACACCGCAATAGTCACACATCGTACTTTTATTTGATTTAGGTGTTTTCTCTACCTTGACTCTTGGTAGTTTACGCTTCAGGTTGCTTTCAGTTGAAGGTCCAGGAGTTGGAGAAGCAGAGGGGACACGAATCGAGGTAACGGTCTCCTCACTGGTAACGGCGACTGTGGTTTCGTTTGATATGGCGACGATGTTTTCTTCAGGACTGTCCATGTTGTTCGTGCTTTGAGGTGTTAAATATCGGGCCTGTGGATTCCGCTTAGCTCGTCGGGTACTAGAAGAAGAAGACTGTGGTACCTCAGGAACGGAAAGTAAAGAGAAAACTGAAGGTGACGCAGTTTCACGATTGACAGCAGAAGCTTGGGCATTATCAGTGGAAGATTCAATATTCTGGACTGTAGGTCACTTGGCTGCATCAATGATGGGGCAATACTTTCATCAGAAATGGCATTTCGATCAAATGGCGCAATGCCAGTTTTTCGAAAGCCGTTCATAATTATTGACGGCTGAAATGCTTACTCGTAGGCTGGTGTTAATAGGCGACAAAAGTCAAGCCTTGTTGGAGCACTCGTTGGATGTTGAAGCTTATAATCATTTAGCACTTTAGCCCATGCATTTTTCAGTGACTTGTAAACAGAAACGTCCAGAGGTTGCAGGAGATGGCTTGTGTGACTTGGAAAAGTGAATAGATGAATGCCATTTTTTGTAGCGAAATCTATAACATCTTGGCTGACATGGGTAGAGTGAGAATCCATGATTAAAAGTACCGGTCTAGCTGGGGGAATATGAGCTTCAAAATGATGCATCCACTCCAGAAATAGTTCAGAGTTAATCCATCCGTTTTTGGATAATCTCACGATAGACCCTTCCGGAGCACCATTCGCTAGATCATTGACCATTCGGACACCTTTAAAAATGATCAAGGGGGGGTACAGACGCTCCGCTCGCACTACAGCACCCAAGCACCGTTTGTGTGACACCTTTCTCTGCAAAAGTTCTACTGTAAATTACCTTCTTTCCAGTTTGAGTGACAATTTTTGACGGTTTTACGACGAACGTTACACCGGTTTCGTCGCAGTTATAAATCCTTTCAGGCTTTTGCAGAATATCCAGCTCAATAACGACGTCCAGTAGCTTTTTATAAAAATCGTCAATGTTTTGTCTGTTAGCAGTAACAGCTCGGCATGCTGCAAGCTTTTCTGGCGTGCGCAATGAAAGCCCGTACCGTTCTTTAAACGACCACCACCAATAAGCCCCAGCTTTACGTTTAGCATCGTTAAACTGGTGATCTTTTCCTGCTTGGACTGCTAAAGCGTAACATTTAGCTTTGATGTCTGTGACGCTGAGACCAAATCCTAGTTCTTGCATTTTAATTATGTAGGAAACAAACTTACATTCAAGGTCGCTGTCTAATGTGAATGGTCTCCCAAGTTTAGGTAAGTCGAAACTTTCACCTCCATGAGTAGCTATGTGTCTTCTCAAAGTAGACCACGGTATGCCATATTCCTTCGACGCCTTGTACACTGACCAATTATCCTTTATAACTTTCATATAAGCCTCCTTGAAGCGTGAAGAGTCATAATTTCTGCGTTTCTCGCCCTTCATTTTCCTTTTATTTGCCTTTCCGGACTTGTTCCTGTAAGAAAAATCATCCAATACGTAAGACTATAACCCGGACTAATGAAACACAACCCGATATTTTTTTTAACAGAAAGATACAACATTTCGAGCTTCATCTACCCTGAAAACCCCATTCAAATTAAGCTTGAAATAAAATAAAAATAAGCTATGTAATATTTTTGGTAATTTGGTGATATTTACGTACCGATTATCCTCCATTTTTTCGCATATTTTGGCGCGAAACAAATAAACCGCGTCCGGTGAGGACAGCGACCAGCGGCCAAATGAAAGAGAGATGAACATACTCGCCTTCAGTTCATTGAATGAACGCAAAACTCGCGCTGGGCATTATAAAGACCGTTGAAAGCAAAATTATCACCATATTGCTATATATCACCATTTAGCCAACCTTTACCCTATATATATATATATATATATATATATATATATATATATATATATATATATATATATATATATATATATATATATATTGTATATTACCTTTTTGATCATTTAGAGATTCAGATATATCAGACTTTAAGTTACAAAAGGATTTATTTTATTCTTAGGTACTTATAGCAAAAAAGAATTAAGTAATGATTTATCTACAGATGTAATACCTACGTACTTTATCACAAAACTTAGTTGAAATTTACTTCACTATCCAAGCATCTACTCACATACCTATGCTTGTCTTTTGTAATTAAAATATTTTAAATAAGTAGAATACTGCCACATTTCTGTTAGAAATCGTATTTGAGGTAAGTGAGTACTTATTTGTTGTTTCCTTGCCTTGCAAGTCGCATGCGTTGGGTGTCGCAGAACTCACACAGGTGCGAAAATATGCTCAGTCGATCATAATCCGAATAGGTACTTCACCTAAGTAACTTAATTAACATTTCGCAATGATTTTTTTACTCTTTATTGACATCCTTTAGTAACCACGGAAAGTCCGCCGTGACTTAGGAAGGAGAAGATACAACGTAGTATGGACACACGCGTGCAGCAATAAAGTTTTATTTAGCTTGAGTGCGTGATTTATCTAATTAATAATAATAATATAGGCTATTAAACGTCGGCAAGCAGTCAACATCAAAGGACAACTTCTATACGTAGTACTATTATTTTTTCTGTGTCCAGTCCAGGTGAACTAGCACCTTGTAATATAGGATCATAGTTCAGTGCTCATTTATGTTATGTTAGCGATATATGAAAAAAATGAGAAAATATTTTTCTTCAAAATTTCATAAACTGCTACTTTGACATCTGAAGCAGAGTATGTACTAAAAAAACTGACTTCGAAGTGGATTATCACTTATTGAAATAAAATAATAAATGAGTGCTCAATTAGTGCTGCTAGCACAAAAAAGTTATTTTTTTTAAATACCATAAACTGCTACTTTGACATTTTTAGTAAAGTATGTGATGAAAAATTCACATTTGAATATCTTATCTCCTAATGATAAATGATAAAATTCAACAACTGCAACAGCTGTAAAAATTTGGGACCAGTGATTGACTTAGCCCATTTTTATGTTTATATAACGAAAAAGCTTTCAATTCTTACTTTATACACTCTTACACAACGTACTTAAGCTACAAGTGAAAAATGACTCTCTTAGTGTCTCCAATCTTTAAGAATTTTTTTATCCAGCTGTTATATTTGATTAATTTATATATTTTTGTATAATTTATTTCATTATTTAAGTTTTTTTTAGTATCGATTAAACCTGAAAGAATCAGAAACAGGACCACGGTCAATAACTGGGTATTTTACCTTAGTGATCTCAACAATGTGATATTAGTATGTATGCAGTGAAGCAGGCTGTGACTGGTTGATTGTAACCCAATAAATTAGGAAGACAATCAGAATTATATAACCTGAAGTTATATATAGTGGTTAGTGTTTAGAGCGGCGAAGCCTGTGCCAAAGTTGTTTTAGCCATATGCACGTAAAAGAGGTACGTTTTTATAGAATAAGCGTAACAAACGAGCTCACAGTCCACCCGATGGTAAGTGGATGCTGTGGCCCGTAGACATCTCCATTTATCCTCGATTGTGAATAAAAATGCAGATGCATTGTCACGCTGAGGACTAAGATGGAATGCCTCATTTTCAGTAAAAACGGGTCTCCGGATTTCTACACTCACCATACGAAACACAGCAGTACGAGTATTAAGCTGCTATTATAATTACGCTAATATTCTGTGAGAGCGTGGTCCTTCCCCGATCAAGTCGACCCATTCGTGCTATAACCACAATATAATTGGTGAGACGAAGATAGTGAGAGTGAAGACGTGGCTCTATCACGAAAATGCAAGGTCTACCAGCCTCAGAAAATTTATACGTTTTTTTACTTTAAACGAGCCATTCCATCTCAGTCCTCAAGAGTGACAACGCATCTGCATTTTGATTCTTCATTAGAGATAAATGTAGACATCAGGTGGACTGTGTGCTCGTTTGTCACCCTTTTTTATAAAAAAAAATAAGACGAAATGTGAAATGTTAAGAGGGTTAAAAACCGTATACAATCAATGGCATTATTACAAAGTTCATAGTGGTCTATGCCAGGAGTTGGATAAACTCCACATTTCGTATGATAAACATTTTAAAAATCTACGTTAAAAAATCAAGTTTCTTTTTTAATTAATTATAATTAAACGACACCGAGTTAAAAGGCCAAATACTTTAAGCTTAAGACGAGTCTATAAACAAAAGTATCTTAAATGATGGGCTTATTCTTAAGTACCACGATATTTTAAGCTGAAACGTAATTTTAGTGATAAACTGGCAAAATTTTAAGGATATTTTAATATTTTTGAAATCGATTTTTGAAAGTAACAGAATTATTTATTCCAGAATTAATTACATATATAATGTTACAAGTTTTGTATTTGTTACAGAATTAATTATATAAATAATGTTGTTTTCATGAACTTACAAAAGTAGTTGAAAAAAAAGGAATATCAATCGAGAAATTACCTCCTTAAATTGCATCATTAAGTACCAACCATTTTTGATTATTCAGAAATCGCATTTCTACCTTGCGCTCTGCTAAAACTGTCGAAATAACAACTTCCGGTATTTGTAAATTAGAAAAGAAATATCGTTTTATATCTGTGTTTATATATGGAGAGCATCCACTTTGATGTCAATTTTTTCAGTACATACTAATAATATAGTAAAGCTAATATAGTAGCAGTTGACAGTATTAAAAAAAAATCCCAAATCCTTTTTCGTATATCGACAGCACTGAATAATGATTCTATATCACTAGGATACCCACCCGGATATCAATTTTGTAACATGTACTTTGCTGAACCTGTCAACGTAGCAATTTATGGTATATGAAAAAAAAAACTTTTAGCGCTTTTTACCGCATGTGCTTGCAGCACTAATTGAGCACTTATTTATTATCTTATATCACTAGGTGATTAAACATCTGAATGTCAATTTAGTATCACGTACTTTGCTGAATCTTTCGAAGTAGCAGTTTACGGTATATGAAAAAAAAGCATAATGGACGACACACACGGTCAGTTCGACTGATCATTCCACTGACCCCTATATATACATGTACATTTAGAGGTCAGTGAATCATTCCAACTGATCGGTTCAAACTAGGACTGTTGATATTTTTTAAAATATCGGATTTTCGATAGTGCATCAAGTGGTGATTCAGCCGTAAATGGTATTTTCGGTTGCATCACCAATTACCATCAGGTGAGATAGCAGTCATGCACTTACTAACCGCTCGCAGAAAGTTTGCCGACGACTACCATATATCAAATCAAGTACAGTCAACAGCCTGTCAAGCAGTAACACTATCGCTAATTTATAAATGTTATTTTTATAGGGGTAGGTTACGTATGTATTTTTTATTTTCAACATCTGTGTTCCCCTAAGATCTTCCAGTAAAAAGTCTTCGATCTCTACACTTACCAAACACAGCAGCATTAAGCTGCTGTTTTACGCTGATACTCTGTGAGAGCGTGGTCCTTTCCCGATCGAGACAACCCATTCGAGTTACAACCATAATATAGCTGCAGCGTAATTACTCTAAGGAGTGGGTAGATAAAACGTATAGTATAACGAAAGTATTTCTTACGAAAATTTCGCTGTCGATCGGGAAAAGCGTAGATGAATTGAAGAACAATATTTCATCAACTTTGGCACTTGTGAGAGCGTCTTTGGGGTATAATATATTATTTTTATCCCAATTCCGGCAAAAGTAAAGCGATATAACGTGACTGTCGCAAATACTTTTGTTTCCTATTACTAACGCTGGCACCTTTTGAAGTGGGTTAATCTAGAAAAGAAAACACGTAAGAACTAGATAACTTAAAAATATATAATTGATAGAATTTAAGTATTAATATCTTTATTAAAAAATATTTTGCCGTGTGTAAAAATCATCAACATACTCGTATTCTAGTAGGTATATTTAACCATCCATTACGGCCTATAAAAGTCTACCGCAGCCTCGCTTGGCAATCGGGTTGGCAACCACAGTCTTTTACTATTTTGAATTGTTATCTGGAAATTGTTGCTGCCCATCTCCTTATTCAGTTTCCCTTTATCACCTCTTACGACACCCACAGGAGGATACGGAGCATTGGACATTTTTACAACAACACTACACGGTAAATATAATGATATAATTTATACAAAACTAATGTAGCGGTCTATGTCCAGCCGTGAACTGCTGCAGGCTGCTGATCATGATGATGAAATATATTATTTTCATAGATAATATATTATAAAGTTGCTTATTTTTCACTTTCCCGTTGTTTCAAATTTGAATTCAACTAACTTTTTTGTATGATTCGGTTTTGTTTTCAGAAGCGAAAAGGTCAATCCTACGGAAATCCAACTCAACGCCTAAAATGGAAGCTGTCATCAAAGCAAAGCGGACTGGTGGCGCCACTTCATCACCGTATAAAATCATCTTTTGAGTCGTTGTGAGATACCTGTAATCAAATTATTAAATAATTATAATCAAAAAGCGCAACCATTTTTACTACGTTTCTAGTCTTTGGCTATATTTCAAGTTTTGAATATCTAACTTATCGGGAAGTTAGTTTCAAATAGATTACTAAATTTGTACGGTACGGGCAAACAAACAAACAGTTTATATTGCATTATTATGCAGCTCTGAGTTATATTTAAAGCAGGGATTCCTAAAATGGTCGACCCCAAGGGGTCGATATCGGTTTCCCAGGGGTCGACACAAATGAAAACTGATTTTGGGGATCGACGAGGTTTAAGAATCGACCCCTATTAATTACACAAGTTTTTATTTGAAACTTTCAAGATATTGTGTAAGTTATGTTACGTGTACCAACTTGTTATAAGAATGACTAATATTTTAATGTTTTTTTTTTCAAAAATATTTACCTACTTAGGTAAGTATTTTTAGGTAATTTGTATTAATAATTTATAATTACACTTGATATTTACTGAATTTTATATCTATTTATTTCATTTAATTTTGATGAGAAAATATGTCAAGCTTACTCACTTAACCAACTGCAAAGTTTTTAAGTTGGTATGTACTTTGTATCAAAAGGAAAAAACTAGAGATAGTATTTTAAAGTAATTTGGCTATGTTCAGGTCTAGTCTGAGGTATCAGTTCGTTTTGGAAAAGGAGTCTCTTGCTCAAAATAGTTAGAATAATATAAAAAATAATAGAATCCCTGATTTAAAGTCTCTATCTCTTTGGGAATACAGTTTAAAATCAGCTAAAAACATAAACCAAGTTAATAAAAACGTAGTAAAATAAAAACTAGATGAAGATACCACCAAAACATTATTATGCACCAAACCAATATGTAGAGCCGAATTTTAAAGCTGTGGTAGCAGAGATGGATAACGCTCGTTGTAAATTTCACAGTACGCGGGTAGCCCGGGTTCGATCCCCGCCGGCATCACACCAATGAAATTTTGAATTGCAATTTTAAGTGCTGATTTACTACGTGCTCGGCGGTGAAGAAAAACATCATGAGGAAGAACCTGCATGTCTGAGAAATAAGAAAAAAATATTTCGAAGACATGTGAAGTTCAACAGCTGGAGCGCGCGCGGCGGACATGCAAAAAAAAAAAGGGGTCCCAAAATGGGCCCCCGCACGGGGACCGCCCACTACGTTCAGCTGTTAGCTGAAACGAGGCGTTCCATTTTACTCCATAATGACAACGCATCTGCATATTGATTCGTTTCGAAAATTTTGAAACGAGGATAAATGTAGATGTCTATGGGGTACGAAATCCATATACCATCAGGTGGACTGCATGCTCGTTTGTCACTCTTATTCTATTAAAATAAAACTTTAACTTTTTAAACCAAAATTTCGATTTTTAAATTTTGTAAGAAAGTTAGAACATAGTATTGTTTTTAACTCCTTTCACAGGGTACCTTCTATAAAACCGAAGGGACAAACATACTTACAGTCCACCTGATGGTAAGTGGTTACTGCGGTCCATGGTCGCCTGCAGCCAAATTTAAACAAAGAAGACTTCATATGCATTGTCACCTCTGAGAACCAAGATGAAATGTCTCTCAGACTGTAATAACTAATAATACATGCTCTCTATAATCTTCACCACGATAAGATAAATACGATCGTTACATTAATTAAATTCGGGTATGGGTATTTTTTTAAATAACGTAAAATAGCAACTTAATGGTGTTGTGCCTCGTATGGCGAGTTTTTTTATAACATTGGGTGACAAACGAGAACACAGTTCACTTGATGGTAAGTGGATGCTGTGGCCCATAGACATCCACTATTATCTTCAATCAAGAATTAAAATACAAATGCGTTATCACCCCTGGGGACTAAGATGGAATGCCTCGATTCCTTTAAAAAGGGTCTCCGATTCTCTACACTCACCATACGAATCACAGCAGCATTACGCTGCTATTTTACGCTGGTATTCTGTGAGATCGTGTTCCTGCCCCGGTCGAGCCGACCCATTTGTGCTACAACTTTAATATAGCTGCAGCGTGGCTCTACCACCTTCTAAAAGTGAGTGAGTGCAGAGAACCGGAGGCCTGTTTTACTGGAAACGAGGCATTCCATCTTAGTCCTCAGGGGTGGCAGTCCATCTGCATTTTAATTATTAATCGAAGATAAATGTAGATATCTATGGACCATAGCATTTACTTACCGTCAAGTGGGCCGTATATTATACTAGTTTGACTTCTATAAAACTACTACACTTTACTCACCATACGAAACGCAGCAGCAAGATGCTATTACATGCTGGTAATCAGTGAAAGCGTGGGCCTTCCCCGGTCGAGCCGACCAATTCATGCCACAACCATATGGCTGCGGCGTGGCTTACTGTACGAATTGAAACAATCAAAATAACAAACCGATAAATCATTTATGTTTTGCACAGTTTATCTGGAAATTTCTGTAAATTTTGGCACTGAGAATACTTAGACTATTTTTGCAGAAAAATTTAATGATTTTTTGAAGTGGTGAAAAATATTAAGATATTTAAAACTTATTATTAATAAATACTCACTTATTTTCCGATGAATTGTAGCGTACGGAAATGTTTCGTGTGATTTTTATTGCATTATTTAGAGTTTTCAAATTCAACATGGCTGCCGAGCTAAACCGCGACCAAGCTTATACTGAACGGCGGGAACGCTAGTAAAGGATATAGGTATTTTGTTAGGTTATTGAGCTGTGGTGCGATGAACCAACAGCCAAGATACCTGTTTATTATTTACATAATTTGTAACATAACCCGTTGTTTATGGCTTATATCAACGAAGAAATGGTTTACGATGCGAAATGTGAGTAGACCCATTTAGGATTCCTTTTATTACTTTCATAAGCTTAGAAACTGAATATGATCTTCATAATTAACACATTGTCATTTTTACAGCATTTATTATAAATAATAGAATAATATAAAGATTGTAATACAATGTGGTTATATAAAGTACCTACAGCCCCTATAAGTACCGAGAGACTTGAGTCCAGCCTAAGATTTTTTTTATAGAAGAGGGGGCAAACGAGCATGCGGCTCACCTGATGTTAAGTGACTACCGCCGCCCATGATCAACCGCAACACCAGGGGAATTGCAGGTGCGTTGCCGGCCCTTTAGAAAGGAGTACGCTCTTTTCTTGAAGGTCCCCAGGTCGTATCGGTCCGGAAAAATCGCCGGTGGTAAACTATTCTACAGAGAGGTTGTAAGCGGAAGAAAACTCCTCTTGAAACGTACAGTGGTGGACCGCCAAGCATCCAGATGATGTGGATGGTATCGCGACGATTATTATAAGTGTGTATTGGTGTAATAGTAACAGTACTTAGCATAGGAAAAAGGGGAATAATTGACAATATATGCGGTAGCTAGACACTGTAGCCTACTATTGCTGCAGCTTGATTGGCTCAGCTCAACCAGGAAAGGACTGGGTTTTCACATTACCATCATAAATTATGTGATCGTGGTATGGTTTATGTAGGGAAATGAAGATCCGTTTTACTGGTGACAAGGCACTCAGTATTACTCAGGGCTGACAACGCATTAGCATTTTGATTCTTATTCAAGGAGCTCAAGTGAACTGTAAAGTGTTGCAGTTGTTCATGAGCTGCGGTAGTCACTTAACATCAGGTGAACCGTGTACTCGTTTGCCCTCTCTTCTGTTAAAAAAATGCTGGGATGCGATGTTTTACATCAAATATAAATATCGATATATTTTAACACTTCTGGCTCCACTCAACATTTTAATACTTTAAGTTTAATCCCGTTCTATCTAAATACCTAGGCTGCACTAAAAGTATCGGAAAGGGAATATTTCCACTGTTCCTGTCATATTAAAATCTTTTTAATTGAAAACTCCTTGGTTTTAAAAATCGAATACCATTTATTTATTTTAAAAAAGATTCTCGGTCTTGTCACAAGGTTTTATCAAACTTGTTTAGTCGTTGAGAAAATGGAATTGACTCGAGAAAATTTAAGAGCGATGATTTATTATGACTTTCGAAGTGGTTTAACACAAAAACAGTGTGTTGACCGGATGATTTCTGCATTTAGTGATGAAGCCCCATCCAAAACCACAATTTATCGCTGGTATGCTGAATTTCAACGTGGACGTGTCAAGCTCAGTGATGATCCCCGTCAAAGCCGTACAAAAACTGCAGTCACCCAAGAAAACATTGATGCTGTGTGTAAGCTGATTGAGGAAGATCGACATGTGACATACCGCGAAATTCAGGCAACTTTAGACATTGGCATGAGTCAAATACAAATAATCTTGCATGAACAATTAGGTATAAAAAAGTTGTTTTCCCGATGGATACCGCATTCGCTCTGTGAAGAGCAAAAAGCGGCTCGCGTTACTTGGTGCGTCGAAACTCTCGAAAGATTCCACGCAGGATCCTCAAATGCTGTATACAACATCGTAAAAAACCGAGTGTTCGACAATGAGTTAAAGCCAACAAAAATTGTTCGTTCACGGAGTGTTGCAAAAAAAAATGGTGGCCACGTTTGTCTCCAAAACCGGCCTTGAGGGACAAAGAACGGTTAAGTTCTTTGTCCCTCAAGCCTCAACCGCCGCATCATCCTCCATCACGACAATGCGAGTTCTCACACCGCACACAGAACAAAAGAATTTTTAGAACAAGAAAACATAGAATTATTAGACCATCCGCCGTACAGCCCCGACCTAAGCCCTAATGATTTCTATACTTTCCCTAAAATAAAGAATAAATTGCGTGGACAGAGATTTTCATCACCTGAAGAAGCTGTGGACGCCTACAAAACGGCCATTTTGGAGACCCCAACTTCCGAATGGAATGGTTGCTTCAATGATTGGTTCCATCGTAAGGAAAAATGTGTCAAATTTCGCGGAGAATACTTCGAAAAGCAATAAATACATTTTTAAATAGTAATGTTGTGTCACTTCCTTGATTCCCAAAATTTTCAATGCCACCCTCGTAGCTGTTAAATATTTGATTTCTTCAGCTACATCTGTGGCACATGCTATGAATTGAAAATAATAAGTGGCCTTTTGTATTGTATGTTGATAAGCGTAGCAGCTTACTCCGAATATTGTGTAGTCGACAAGATTGGTGTTTACTATTGTTGCATGAATAAGTCAACTAGTGCCATCTAGTGTCAGGAACGAGAGCGAGGGGAGCTTTGCAGTAAATGACTTCACAAATCTTTCGACCGACAGCGCCACCCGAAGAACTAAGTTTCTGGAAAATCTACACTCGAATACTCGTTGCCTGGCGCGCATTTACTTGAATGTTCGGGACGGCTCTTTGCTAATTATATAAATAGGCGCTGCAAGATGCGATCGGGGCAGATTTGAACTCGGCGACACAAGCGAAGCTTCGGAGCGGAATTAAGTGAATTAGTGTGTTTAATTATTAGTGTTTTTAGTTTTAATTTGTGTAAAGTAAATTAAAGTGTTAATTTAGGTAATTTTATCGGCAATTTTTATTGTCACGAACCTCAAGCTCGTAACAATTGGTGTCAGAAGTGGGATAAAATCATGCCGATTTTACCTAAGGAGGAAACGGAGGGTGTTCGTACCCGCAGTCAACGCCAGCATGAGACGCACCAGAGAAGATTTGGTGGTGCAACGCCGCAGACGTCGGAGGGCCAGCCGCCGGCAACGGAGGCCGGTTCGTCAGTAGCTCCTGCATCTGCAGCACCTGATTTAGGCGCCCTGATGGTGATGCTGCAGGAACAGGTCCGTCAGTTGAAAGAGCAGCTGCAGAGCGGACAGGATGAACAGGCCCGTCGGTTAGCAGATCAGCAGGCGGAACAGGCTCGCCGACAGGAGGAACAGGTCCGTCGGTTGGAAGAGCAGCTGCGAGGCGGACAGGCAGAACAGGCCCGCCGACAGGAGGAACAGATGCTTCTCATGAAGGACCTTCACGCTACCTTCGGGAAAGAGATAAGGGAGGTGAAGGATAAGGTTGCTCAACATGAAAACCGCCTGTCGAAAGCTGAAACCCGAATTGACCAAGTGAACAATCGGGTTGACAACGTAATGGCTGACATGAGGAAATCACTTGACGAACTCAAACTTGGGGAGGGAACTACAGCTCCCATAGTAGCTACTACACCTTCGCTACGTGGGTTCAAGGTGCCACCATTCGACGGGACTTCTTCCTGGTCAGCCTACAAAATCCAGTTCGAGGCTGTTATGAAGGCGAACGGCTGGAATAAAAGTCAGGCCATGACTGCTCTCACACTAGGCCTGCGCGACTAGGCCTTAACAGTTCTGGAAGCTCTCGGTGAGGAAGGGACTTATGAGCAACTCCTTGAGGCATTGGAGGCGAGATATGGCGACGCTCACCTGGAACACGTCTTTCGTGCGCAGCTTAAAGATCGTGTGCAGCGCATCAACGAAAACCTGCAGCAGTGGGCTCTAGAAGTGGAGAAGCTGGTGCGAAAAGCATACCGGTCTGTACCTGCGCTCATTGAAGGGAACCTGGTGCAGACATTCATCGACGGCATCCGCGACCTGGAAGTCAGAGCTGCTGTGAAGCTCGGGCACCACGAGACGCTTAAGGACGCCTTGGCCCATGCACTGGAGGTGGAAGCCGTGCGGCAGGATCATCATTCCCATAGCGTCAGGGAGGTTGCAGCCGCTACAGTCCGTGACCGCAGCAAAGGATACAGCCCTAGGTGCTATGGCTGTGGGGAAAAGGGCCATCTTCGATCCAACTGCCCTAAACGAACCGTGGAAAGGAGAGTGGATCGATCTCGAGAGGGTAGTGCAGCTAACGGCACTGCCTGGCGGCGACAGGATCATCGTTCACCTCACGCTAGGGAGGTTACAGCAGTTACGGTTCGCGACCACAATAAAAGATACAGCCCTAGGTGCTATGGCTGTGGGGAAAGGGGCCATCTTCGTTCCAGCTGCCCTAAGCACACCCTAGGAAGGGAAGGTGAACGGTCTCAGAAAGGAAGTGCGGCTAACAGCACCGCCCAGCAGCAGCAGGAATACGACTTTACTATCAGACACTGCAGCGGGAAATCTCACGGCAACGCAGATGCATTGACAAGAAGACCTTGTCCTGAAGATTGCAACCATTGTAGTAGGCAAGAGAGTAAGGAACTGGTATCCGTGAGGATGCTCAGGACAGACCACCTCAGCAACGGGTGGAAGGACAGCCTACGACATGCACAGCAGGAAGATCCGGACATCAAGCCGATTCTGGGATGGATGAAGGCCCGTGCTACCAAGCCTAAGTGGAGGGACGTCTCAGCGATGAGTTCAACCACGAAAAGCTATTGGACCCAATGGGATAGCTTGCTGATTCAGGATGGAGTCCTGTGCCGTAAATGGGACAATGGTCGAAGAGACAGCTGTCGTTTGCAAATGGTTGTCCCTAAAGCTAAAGTGCCGAATGTTCTACAGCTGTGCCATAATGGTCGTTCAAGAGTCCATCTGGGAGTTAAACGAACTCTACTGAAGGTCCGAGAACAGTTTTACTGGGTCCATTATCGTGACGATGTCGAGGATTGCTGTCGTACATGTACAAGTTGTGCGGCCGTGCGGGGACCTCAGACACGTAGTAGAGGAGCACCGAAATTGTACAATGTTGGTGCACCACGGGATAGGACAGCCCT